CCACAACATGAGGAACTGTATTAAAGGGTCGCGGCATTAGGAAGGTTGAGAACCGCGGCTTTAAAGCAACTGATTGACTTATCACTCTGTTTTCAAGACCACCCAATTCCCAAAAAAAAGTGATCGTGCGTGAGTTGGGTGGCTATATAAATCTGTTTGATAAATATAAATAAATAAATATAAATACTCTGGGTGGCTTTACAAAATTAAAAACAGAGCCTCTCCTTCCAACATTATCAGGACAAACTATCTCCTACACTTCACCAAAGGCAACCAAGGAGAAAACCATCTCCCCACCTTAAAAGGGCCCGCTAGATCTCCTAATTGTGGCGCCAAAGAGAGCCTTTAAGGATTTGCTTTAAATCATGGGGGGGGGGGGTAGTTGTAGAACTGGATGTAACTCATTTAACAACCACCTGACTTAGCAATGGAAATTCCAGTCTGAATTGTGGTCGTAAGTTGAAGACTACTTATAGTAGGAACAATGTCTCTTCTCCTTCTCCTCTCCTAAAAGTCACTGGCTAGAAGTCAGCATAGAATGGAAGGGAAGGGAAGGGAAGGGAAAGGAAGGGAAGGGAAGGGAAGGGAAGAGAGAAAAGAGAAGAGAAGAGAAGAGAAGGGAAGGGAAGGGAAGGGAAGGGAAGAGTGAAAAGAGAAGGGAAGGGAAGGGAAGGGAAGGGAAGAGAAGAGAAGAGAAGAGAAGAGAAGAGAAGAGAAGAGAAGAGAAGAGAAGAGAAGAGAAGAGAAGAGAATTCTTTATTGGCCAAGTGTGATTGGACACAGAAGGAATTTGCCTTTGGTGCATAGGCTCTCAGTGTACATAAAGAAAAAATAAAATACATTCATCAAGAATCATAAGATACAACAGTTAGTGATAGCCATAGGCAGAGGTGGTATTCAGCAGGTTCTGTTGCCAGTTCTGGAGAACCAGTAGGGGAAATTTTGAATAATTCAGAGAACTGGCAAATACCACCTCTGAGTGGAGATTTTACAGTATCCCTTCCCCTGCCACGCTCACCAAGCCACGCCCACCAGAACCGGTAGTGAAAAAATTGGAATCCCGCCACGGGTCATAGGTTACTAATAAGCAATCAAATCATACTGGGAAACAAATAAAAACAATATAAATTGTAAAGATAGAAACAACATGGTTATAGTCATAAGTGGGAAGAGATAGACACTGGGAAGGATGAGAAGAAGAATAGTAATACAGTCTTAGTAAATAAGTTGACAGTGTTGAGGGAATTAGTTGTTTAGCAGAGTGATGGCCTTCGGGGGGGAAACTGCCTTTGTGTCTAGTTGTTCCGGTGGGCAGCGCCCTATAGTTTCGTTTTGAGAAGATGCTGGATGAACTTGTCCTCTCCCAGGTTGGAGGAGAAGCTGTGAACCACGTTGACTTTGATTTCTCTTCCAGGGAAGAACTGCCAGTTGATGGATTTCTGCCCAGCCAACCCTTGTGCCAACGGAGGGACGTGCGTCATCACTTACCCTTTCATCGTCTGCCAGTGCTGGCCAGGCTTCGAAGGGCACACCTGCCAACACGACATCAACGAATGCTTTGCGTCCCCCAGCCCCTGCCTCAACGGGGGCAGCTGTATCAACAGCATCGGCTCCTTCCGCTGTTTGTGCCCATCCAACTTCTCTGGTCCTCTCTGCCAGTACCGACGGGGGCCTTGTTCCTCGGAGATCTGCCTCCACGGGGGCACCTGCCATCGTGTCAATGGAGGATACCATGGCTGCCTCTGTCTGCCAGGCAATTACGGTTCATTATTCTTAGTGTTGTTATGGCATTGGTTGGCTAAAAGGCATTGCGGCTCTGCCCCAGGTCCCATCATTGGCATCCTTCAGTCTCAAAAGACTATGGTATCGTGCTCTGAAAAGAGGACCTAAAACAGCATCAAGTGTGGCTAAAAAGGCAAATTCGAGAGTGTCAATCCCTTCCACAGGGAGGTAGTGTTGAAAAAATAGTTTAAGACACCCAAGGAAGGAGATGTGGCTTGATGCCTTTTCTCAAAGATCAAGGGAGAGGATAAATGGGAGCTACTCTGTGTGGCCAGTGATTGGAACCTTGGATGGCGGAAGTCTTGGGTGTTAACCCCACTAGTTTACTTGCCACCAGTTTTTAGTAACCAGACATGTTCATGTTCATAGTGAGATAAATATAATGAAACACTGGTGCATCCAAGTCATTAATTCAGGTTGCAGATGACAAGTTGGTGACATTAAATAATTCTTCTTCTTCTTCTTCTTCTTCTTCTTCTTCTTCTTCTTCTTCTTCTTCTTCTTCTTCTTCTTCTTCTTCTTCTTCTTCTTCTTCTTCTTCTTCTCCTCCTCCTCCTCCTCCTCCTCCTCCTCCTCCTCCTCCTCCTCCTCCTCCTGCTTAGCATCTTATGGTAAGTAAGCTCACTTGTCACGAATCAATTAGCAACCCGTGCATTGTGTGAATGAAACGGTGCTTCTTTTTTATTCCACAGATTTGTCCCAAAATTTGCCCAAGAAACAGGGTTGGGTCTGAGTTCTTTACTCCTGTACTCTGTTTGAGTTTCAAGCCAATACATCTAACTGAGTCAGACCCCAAAATAACTTACTGTCAAAGCTCTGTTAATGGTGCCAGTCTTAAGAACTAAATTGCTGGTCTCAGTTGTAGATATAATACTTTATTGGCCAAGTGTGATTGGACACACAAGGAATTTGTCTTGGTGTAAATCCTCTCAGTATACCTAAAGAAAAGGTACATTCGTTAAGAATCAAGAATCATAACGTAAAACACTTAATGATAGTCATAGGGTACAATCAACAATCAAATCATACTAGGAAACAGTCAATATAAATTGTACGGATACAAGCAACAAAGATACAGTCCTACAATCACAAGTGGGAGGGAATGGGTGATAAGGAGTGATGAGAAGAGTAATAGTAATAGTAATGCAGACAGTTGTAAACAGTTGGACAGTGTTGAGGGAATTATTTGTTTAGCAGAGTGATGGCATTTGGGAAAAACTGTTCTTGTGTCTAGTTGTTCTGGTGTGCAGTGCTCTATAGCGTCGTTTTGAGGGGAGGAGTTGAAACAGTTTATGTCTGGGATGTGAGGGGTCTGTAAATATTTTCACAGCCCTCTTTTTGACTCGTGTAGTATACAGGTCCTCAATTGAAGGTGGGTAGTAATTGTTTTTTCTGCAGTCCTAATTATCATTTGAAGTCTGTGTCTGTCCTGTTGGGTTGCAGAACCAAACCAGACAGTTACAGAGGTGCAGATGATAGACTCAGTAATTTGCTCTTTGGGCAGTTTGAGTTTTCTGAGTTGGCGAAGAAAGAACATTTTTTGTTGTGCTTTTTTGATGATGTTTTTGATGTTAGGTGTCCATTTTAGGTCATGTGATATAGTAGAACCTAGAAATTTGAAGGTCTCTACTGGTGATACTGTGTTGTCTAGTATTGTAAGAGGTGGGAGTATGGGAGGGGTTCTTCTAAAGTCTATCACCATTTCTACAGTTCTGAGTGTGTTCAATTCCAGATTGTTCTGGTTACAGCATGAGGCAAGTTGTATAACCTCCTGTCTGTATGCAGATTCATCGTTGTCTCGAATGAGACCGATCACTGTTGTGTCATCAGCAAACTTCAGTATTTGAACAGATGGATCATTTGAGATGCAGTCATGGTATATAGGGAGAAGAGAAGTGGAGATAGCACACAGCCTGGGGCCCCCCCTGTGCTGATTGTACAGGTATTGGATGTGATTCTGTGTAGCTTTACCTGCTGCTTCCTGTCTGTTAGGAAGCTTATGATCCACTTACAAGTGTGTTCAGGTACCGCTAGTTGGTTTAATTTACTTAGAAGAGTGTCTGGAATGATGGTATTGAATGCTGAACTGAAGTCTACAAAGAGGACCCTTGCGTAGGTATTTGGAGATTCAAGATGTTGTAGGATGTAATTCAGAGCATTATCATTAACAGCATCATCTGTCGATCTATTTGCTCGGTATGCAAACTGCATGGGATCTAACAGCAGATCCATGATGGTTTTCAGGTGGGACAGCACAAGCCTTTCAAAGATTTTCATAACTACAGATGTTAGAGCAACAGGTCTGTAGTCATTCAGTCCCTTGATGGGGGGCTTCTTGGGTACTGGGATGATGGTAGAACGTTTGAAGCAGGAAGGAACATAGCACACCTCTAGTGATCTATTGAAGATTCGGGTGAAGATTCGGGCCAATTGGTCAGCACAGACTTTTAAGCAAGAAGGAGTTATCTGGTCTGGCCCTGGTGCTTTTCCTGGCTTCTGTCTTGCACTATCTTGCACTTCTTTTTCTGTGATCACCAGAGGTTGTGAGCTCAATGGATTGGGGCCAGTTGTAGGAGGCTTGGCTGTTGTTGGTGTGTTTGAGATGTGGGTTGTGGAGATAGGTGGCTGTAGTTTTGTTTGAAACCTGCAGTAAAACACATTCAGGTCATCGGCTAGTTGTTGATTTCCTTCTAAACAAGGATAACTATATTAGGAAAGACAGTTTCAAAATTTCAAGGCACCCTTTCAAGATCAGAGTTGTGAAGAGATTTTTAAATGCAACAGAAGAATGGTGGCTTTGCGGTCAGGAAGCTTCCCCTCATAACAGCCATTAGGTTGTGCTTTGGTTTGGTTTTGTTTTTTTACAAATTAGTCATGACATGTCCCTGCTGTTTCTCATAGCTATTGAGGTCAATAGCTATGCAGGTGATCTCAAGTTTTTCAGGTTGCGTTGTGAGGATTTGAGGAATTGGAAACAGCGTGATGCGGAAGCATCCTAAGAAGTGAGAGGCTGGAAGAGTTGTGTGCTCTCAAGTTGTTCCTCTAGAATAGGGGTCCCAACCTGTGGGCCGGGGCCCACTACTGGGCCACAGGCTAATTGCCACCGGGGTGCTTGAATGGCCGGCCAGCGTGTGCATTTCGACATGCACACATAGCCCCATTGCGAGTGTCTACAGCCCGACTCACATGAGTCTCGGCGCAGGAACTGACAGCCACATTCACACAGGTGTTGCCATCAATGTGGCAGATGCATGCACACACCTGCATGTGTACATGCTCTTGCCCCTCCCACAAAATAATCTCCCCTTTCCCCCTTCCCCCTGCTCACTGAAAGGTTGGAGATTTTTGCCCTAGGAGCCTCCCTTGTCATTGCTGACGACGCTGTCTTGTTTCTTCCAAAGTGACTCTTACGTTTATTATCTCCTGTTTTTCAAAATAGGTTACACTGGTCAGTACTGTGAGGTGAATCCAGATGACTGCGCAGGGCATCAGTGCCTCAACGGAGGCACCTGTCAGGATGGTATCAGGTCATACACCTGCCATTGCATCCAAGGCTGGACAGGTGAGACGCAAGCAAGAAAC